AACCGAAGTCGTTCCACTTTCCTCGTTGCAAAGATCCTAGAGTCCAGTCCGAAGGACGAGTCGGGTCGTTGATCCTGGCGACAAAGACGCTGATCGAGCAATTATCCGGAGCTGGTATCTTTGGCGCGTCTTTCTTTCGAGATCCGTTACCTTTGAATAAATTGGTTCAATTTGGATCGAGAAACGGGTCTAGTCGACTGCTGGTATCGATTTAAAGAGAAATAGTTGGAAATAGATACGGTTAATCGTTAAATGTTTTCTTTTTTTTTCTTATTCGCTCGTGTCAAATTATTTTTCGTTTGAAATATTATTCGTTTTAAGGTCGATCGTTGCTCGTGGCGGAGCGAGTTTATCTTTATTACGTCAATCGGAGCGTCGTTAAACGTTGCGACCGTTTTTCTCTCGTGTCACCTCGCACGACGGATGGAACGAGGTTGCGGTAGCGTGCAACACTCGCCATATAAGAGGATATCATGAGAACGAGAAAGTGATCCCTGGTTATGCAAAAACCCTGACATTCCGATACAACGTTCTCACCGCGTGCTCGCCGATTATTCCGTGTTCCAACGAGTTAAACGACAAAGCGGTCCCAATGGTTTTACACGCGAACCACAAATTAGCGAAACGCGTTCGATATTCATTCGAATAGAAGCGTTCGAACGAGAGATAACTACGTTAAAGGTATTACATCGTAAATTAAAAGAGATTATCGGAACGACTCATCGATATATCGAATATAATTTTATTTTATTCGTAAGGAAATATATGTATGTATTCTCTAGACAACGTTTCGTTGATTAAGATGCGAGTCACGACTATCCATTTAAGTTTCGGTCGATCGATTAAAACAAAATAATCGACTCTCTCTCTCTCTCTCTCTCTCTTTGGATAAATTCGAATTACGAAAACGGTGGTAAAAACGATGGTGTTGTCCAATTTCCAGGCACGCGTTCCATCGATCACAAAGCGGCAAAAGCCCTCCCCTCCCCTAAACCACGACGTTTAATTAAATTCCGCAAGCTGGAAGGCCGATTGTAATCCCGGACTAATGTACGCACGGTCTGCTTATGCTTACCATAAAGCTACCCCTAGAGAAATCCCGGTCCAGGTGAGCTCCCGGGACAGGTGTATCGATCAGTCGGTTAATTAAATGCCTGCTAGTCTATCCCCACGGATTCTCCACCGGTCCTCTGATACCCTGTTACCCTCCACCGGTCCCTTGCCCCCGCGGTTTTTCCGCTCAAACTCTCGAGACGAGAGCGGATTTTCATCGATCAACAGGTGGCTTTTAGCCCTTACACTCGTCTACCATCCTTTCCCAATCCTCCAAAACCTACAACTTTTTTTCTTTCTCTCCTTTCTTTTTTTTTTTTTTTCTTGACTTTGAGTCACGTTTCGTGGAAATCGACAAGATTCTTCGATCCTTCCCCGTAAAATCAACAGAGATCTTTTTTTTAGAGTTGAAACTTTATTCTCGTCGAAAAGCGAATATAACTCGAATATAATCGTTTCCGCGCGCGTGACTCGCAAGCCAGCTCCACTCGTTGATTCGCTTTACGAAGTGGTTTCGCATGTTCGTTTACGTCGATTAAAATTTCACCGAAGGCAGAAACGAGATCGGCTACACCATGGATAAATTCGGCGAGGCGAAACTTTTCTTTCGCGCGTCGATGGAAAACGGCCAACGATGTTCTCGCCTCGCAATTGCTCCTTTTGTTCGCCCTTCAACCGCCGCTTTTCATATCGAAGCGAATTCGTCGAATTAAAGCATTTTCCCCTGATTTCGGTAGTTAACGTCGCGTTTGGAAAATGAGCGACACCTGTGTAAAACGGCATAGATCGGTAATGAGATATTAAACAGAAGGGGGGCGTAATGAAATTTCAAATACGATTTAAATTAATCGGAGGCGGTTTAATTCATCATCTTGTCTCCTTTTGTAAAATATTAATAAGCCAGCCGACGAACGACAGCCCCTGGATTTAATATCCGGGATTGGAAAATATCGAGCCGACAGTTGCGCGGATCGGAAATCGAGCGAACGTTTTCACGAGTAATTATTCGTGATCGACAGAGGCCGGGATAATTGGATGCGATTCGATTAAAGTTCGGAATCGGGACAATTATCAAAACTGGGGGAAAGGGACCAGAAATCGATAGCGAAGGAACGGTTTCCACCAAAGCGGATGGGAAAGAAAAACTCGGAGCGTGTTTTATATATGCGCAGATACCTTGGAAACCTTGGGAAACATTGGATGGAGAACTCTCGATACGCGAGATTTCTCCTCCCTTCTCGGGGAGCGATCGACGAGAACAAAAATACGCGTTCGGTATTACCTTGTTTCCTCGCCCGTCACGTTCCAATCTCGCCACGAACACGTTTACCCCCGTTCGCGGCCTATTTGCGAAGGGAAACGGAAAATGGATAAAATATCGAGGCCACGTTCAACCCGTTTTCTTTCGCCCCTCTTCGGCCATCTCGAACAAATCTCGGGACACCGTCAAGGACGCTATCATCCTCTATTTTTCCACATGATCTTCCCACTATTGAGAAATAGCGATCAACTTTTCAGTGGATGGAACAAAATAAATCGTATAGCATTAATTAATTAAATCCACAAAGCATCGATTAAAAGTAAGGTGGAATACGATTAGTGGAGGAGATGGGTGTCGGTTTATTACTTTCCGCGTGCGCGACGCGAGGTCACAATAAGGGAGACGAGGAGGGTGGGACGCGATAGCAATAAGAGCGGCGAAGTAATATCAAGACTCGAAACATACCGCGGAAAACGAAGCAGACGCAACGTTCAGGTGGTTCATCTCGGTGATTCCGGGGGCGGGTTGAACTTTCATCTTCTTCCGGCTTTATCCCCCGCTCTCTTTAATTCTCGCCCCCCGAGCAGAGAATCGGGACGAGACGAGAGTTGCTCGCCATTAATAATCTCCCAGCTATCGTTCCTACCGTCCCTGCAAACTTGTTTCTGTTTATCCCCGACCTTGCGATATACCCGGATTAACTTCTTCCCTCTCTTCGAGAATCTTTCTCGGAGAGAATTCTCGTTCGATGGCGGATCGAGGAAGGGATCTCGAAATTCTTCGGTTTTCGAGTAATTTCCCTCGAGTCTGGGCTTACAAAGTTTGCCACGAAATACAATCGAGTATTTCACGCATCGGGAGCGGCCGAGTTCGGAGTAATAAGGAACGGAATAATGGAAACGAAACGCTCGCGTCTCGCGAGCGTTTACGAGACGTGACCGGAATACTCGCATATAACGCGATTAGCAAAGTTTACCGAAACGTAGCCGCCAAAGGCCCGAAACTTTGCGAAATGATTTCATTAGTGGCGAGGTTAATTCGGAATGGCGGGCAAGTTGGGCACAATGCCTCGCATCTTAATCGTATCGACGATCAACGCGACCACCTCCGGTCGCCTGGATGATTTCGCACGGTCGAGAAGAGCGTTTCTTCCACGAACAGCTACCACTTTCGAGTGGATAGGATATCCGAAAACGATCGCAAATATCGTTAACAAAGTTTGGAAAGTTTTGGATGGAAGTGAATTTGTCGGCGCACCGGTTTAATCTCCGGGGAAGCTACTTAGGGAAGCAAGTTTGCTCGATCGCCGGCTTTTCTTGCGGGAACCTTGCCCTTCTCCGTTCCGTGACGAACAGCCCTAATTATCACTCGGTCGGATGTGGCCGCAACTCCGCCGGAAATTCCCTCGCAAATCCTTCCATTCTCCTCCCGCCTCCTCATTTTTCCTTCCGAGACGCGGAATTCGACCGAATCCCTGCTCGCGAGGACGCTTGAGAAATGAAGGTACGCGCGGAAAAGAGCCACCATCCGTTTCGATAATCCCAACATTTCCAAGGCTTAACGGAACTGTAATCGTCTCCATCTTCGGAACGATTTTTAGAATTTGGGGGGAGGACGAGGGAATTCACTCGTTCGAGGATATTGTCGAATACTTTGGAGACACACCTGACAACCATGTTACATCCGCCCGGACAATTTTACATTATTTTAAAGATCCCTTCGAGCTTGGATCGATCGCTTTCCAAGAGAGATATTTTAGATCCGGGTAACCGTGAAACGAGATAGGTGGCCAGCCCCCTCCGATCGATCCGACGTAGCTCGAGGATCCTCCGAGGTGACGCTCCTCTCTCCAAATCCTCTTACCCCGGAGGAGGAGCTTGGACAGGGTTCCCCCTTCTTTCGAAAAATGGAATGGTCTCGTTCCGGGATATTTTTCCGGGGATGGGAAGGATAAGCCTCGGTGAGAGACGTCGTAGGCCGGCGCTGACAAAGTCGTCTATCCAACCTTTGCTCGTCCGTCCGCGAAATAAGCGAGAGATAAACCGCTCTATCCATCTTCGCGCGATTCGAGAGAGCGCGCCGAGATACCCGCGAAGAATTCAGCCAAGATGAGATCCCACCCTCCTAGTTCGAACGATAGAAATTGGCCGAGACTGCCACTTTACTACGCCGATAGGGCGCAATCTCCTCTGTTAACGAGGGGCCAATCGACGTCGACGATCGAATCGATTCTCGCTTTTGATTCGTGACATGGCCAAGTGGCGGCAGAG